ATATGTTCTGGACAACCTCTGTTCCTGCCTGCTTAATATAATCCCCCTCCTATTCATGAAAAAGATGACAGCCAAATTCAACCCCTCTTCTGACGAAACCCCAACGACACAGGCACCCACTGGTTCTAGTCCATGCCACTAAGGATTCTACGGCCGACGATTTGCCTCGAAAACCCCCATCGCTGGCAAATGAGTTTAGCGAATCACAGCCACAGCCACAGCCACTGCCTCCGGTACGCATGGCACTGCTTTGACGGGGGTGTTGCTCAAAACCGGACTATTTTTTTGTGAGGGCACTCTTGCAACCTTTTCATACATTCTCTTTCCTTTTTACGAGAACCTATTCTTCGTTTCTGACGGTCGGTCTCTGCAATCGACGATCGCAAATGAAGGATCTGTGGGTGCGTGGGGGACAGTGGGACCTTGCCGCTGATGCTATATTATCACATGGCACTGCATAGTATCCTCTTTTTTTTTTTTTTTTTTTTTTTTTTTTCAAGAAAAGGCCCAGTGGGCTCCAATTATGAAATTGATTACAACACTTATACGCACGCCTCTTCCCATTAGGGGTGGAAGAGCCTCAGCCACTGCTCCCCTGGAGCCACTGCTCCCCTGGAGACAGCTTCCCTGTATAACACGAATATAGCATAGTCAGGGGCCATTGATTGCTTCCCCAGTGAGGAAGGATTAACCCCGTTGTGTGCAGAATCAAGCTCTGCCCTATGAGACTCCTCAATTATCCCTACTTCAATCTTCTACAAGGTGAGGAGTAGGGGAGATACCAATAAGGCAAAGAGATTGATAACAGGGCAAGAAAGTTTAGTAGTTCATCATAATTACGACGAGCTTCCCCTAAACAACAATAGTTAACACAGACACAAACCAAAGGGGAGCACAGTAGTTGGAAGAAAATTATAATCTAAACGAAAAGAGCATCAAACTAAGTATCCTTGATTAGGAAGAGTCCGAATCCACCTGGAATGGGGCTAGGGAAGGGCAGGTGGTACATGGAGGGTACTGCCATCATTTTTTGTGTTGAGGGCATCTTCCACAAGATGAGCTGTTGGGGTGTAACCGTGCAAGCATTTAGGAGTGATGACTACCACCGCCACGGCTTTTTCTTTTTTCCTCAGGTTGTTTTGGTTTTGTTTCTCGAAGTCCTTAAATGTTTAACTTAGTGTATCGAGCACGTCTTGAACCCAAGCCCATTTGAATTTAAACAGCTACGTGTATGCACCATGACCGATAGGGTTTCAAAGAGATTTGCAATTTTGCATCTCTGTACCATGATGACCATTATGATTTCAACAGCTACAAGCCTGTAGGCCCTGTACCATTCATTCAGCCACAAGGCAAGCACACCTTCCGAGTGCGCGGAAACTTCTGCATAGCTTTTTTCAATATCAACTTGGCATGTTGTTACACAACACAATGTCAAATAACAACAATTTTTCGTACTAAGCAAACTTCTGTCCACAAATAGAAGACAGAAGTTTTCCCATATCCCTCCCCCGCCCCCCCCCACCCCCTCTTTCCTTCCTTAACCTCTCCCCTTCTGATATAGATCCCGTAACAACCCTTCATCTTGCCCTTCCCCTTTGCCCCACACGCTTATCATCCTCCCTTCATTTCGTCCTCCCAACCCACTATCACGGCAATATCCTGTGTGTATCACGGCAATATCCTGTCACACACA